GCCTAGATATATCCTTAGGTATCCCTCAAAAAGTCGAGGGATTCAAACAGATACTTGCTGCATTGAATATCGGTGTACACTATTCACAATAGCTAAAACACAGTGTCTATTCACAAATGAATGAATGAACAAAATGAATTCCTGATACACGTCACAGCGGTGGGATGGACCTTGAACACATCATGCTGAGTGAAATGTGTCATATACAAAGATAGTGTATGATCCTATTTGTAACCAGTATCTAGAATAGGCAAATGTATAGAGACCCACGTTTCTGAGTGCTTACCAGGGTCTGGAGGGGCGTCATTGCTGAAGAGACCCTGAGTGTCTGTCTGAGGTGATGCCCGACTCCTGGAGATGGATAGTAGTAATTGCACTTTAGCGTGGTGAACATAATGTCACCTAGTTGTATGCTTAGGCTTTCTGGTGATACAGTGGCTACACGTTGCGCTGCTAAGCACAAGGTCAATGCTCAGAGGGAGAAGCACAAGGCTTCCCGCTCCCATAAAGAGTCACAGCCCAGACACCCATGGAAGCGGCTCTACCCTGTCCTGTAGGGCTGCCATGAGTCAGGATTGACTGCATGACAGTGAGCTTGCATTTTTGGAGTTTCATACTTCAAAATTGTAAAGAAAAACTGTGGGGTTATTTTAGCTCTCCAAACCTCAGGTTCATTCTCTGTAAAAGCAATGAACTGTGCATTAGCAGCCATGACAATTAGACATGATCCAGCAAACAGGCAACAAACTGAGGAAAAGACAATCCGCTGCCCTGGGAATAGTCTGCAGATTTCTAATGGCCTGACTTTGTTTTAATTTTTAATACACTTTGTAATTGGATTACATTGGTAGTTTTTTGATAATTTTGAAAGCTTTGCACCAAAAAACGAAGGAGTGATTTTTCTCTCTCTAAGCCTCAGACGCATTGTAAATGTGGAGAACTGTATACCTCAGCTGAGTAGTCATGAGAAGAAAAGACTGCAAAAAAAGACAAGATTGCAAATGTCTTCTGAAATAAATAATTAAATTGGGATTTATTAAAGTATAAATTATTATTGTATGGATAAGAAAATAATAAATAGAATAGTAGAGAATGGCTATTTTTTTAAAAATCATTTTATTGGGGGCTCGTACAACTCTCATCACAATCCATACATACATCCATTGTGTCAAGCACATTTGTACATTTGTTGCCATCATCATTCTCAAAACATTT